TTCCATTTAATTCTTAAAAACTCGGTGATGTTCTGCAATAGTCCTTTTCAAGTATTTAGTGAGCATGATGTGCAAAGCTATTTTTACTTACTTTAAAAATGTTTGCTATCTGGCCACAGTCAACAGAAGTGACAGTAGAAATGCCAACACAGAAGGGTCTCAGCCACCTTTGGAAAGAAAAACAGGTCTTATCTATTGACCTTAAACTAACACATTAAGATTCCAGGATTTTCCAATCTGTCTGGAACAAAAGGAAATAGTCAACAAGAATGTACGTTTGAATCTGGCCCCAGGGACAGAGGGAAACCTTTCAGTAAGTATTAAGTTCAGACTAAAGTTCCACCTTCAGTATCATAGATGGTTGTGTCCTCAAGTTCAAAGTGAATCCACCATATCCACCATGCCAATAAAACTACTGACTTTGGTCCCTTAACTTCCTTTAGACACTATTCAGTATTTCATTAACACTTGTAGATTTAGTAGTTTTGGAGCAGTTCCACTTCTTCCATAGGTGACAATGCATCTCAGATGCAGTGTTGTGCCTGCAGGACAGAGTGCCACATGTCCCCAGCAGTGCTAGCTCACTGCAGTGGCGGTGGGGCAGCCAACAGGGACCAGGCAGGGGATGCTGGCTGAGAACATGGCTTCTTAGGCAGCAGCTTCCTACACTGAGTCAGTCAGGAGGATGGCAATAATTTCCCCATTCCGTCACAGTTCAGGTCACCACAAACCCCAAGCAGGGTGTGTTGTCAAACACTGCAGTTGCCATGCACCTGTACCCACGCTGTGTTTTTACACAGCACCTTCTCATATTCCTTAAATAACGTGGTACCACGTGTACCTATAAAACAAGTCCTGTCTCTCACACAGTCTCAGTCAGAAACTGTAACCACCAAACCCAAGGTTAAGTTTAGCTTTTGAAACATTGCCCTAGGGTAATATGAATCACTCATTCATCTCCCCACTCCAACAGGCAATTCTTTCACGTTTCCTTATGCTCCCAGCCCAGCCCCACCTCAGCACTGGTCTTGTGCTCTCTACAGTCCAAGAAATGTCCACAAGGCAGTGTAAACAAAGTGTTTTGTATTTGTTTGGTGTATTACCAGTGCATCCCAAAATGTGCTCTTATCTGACACATCACAAGCTCATTTTCTGCAAAAATGACATACCTGATTTCTTTTGACGTATCTTTTGCCTCAGATTACACCAGTGATAGTGTGTCCACAGCAATTTTTTCTGTATTTACTGCTGGGAAAGGCAAAAATATTAGGTCAGTAACAGCAACTGCTTATATGTCTGTGGAGCACAGTGTACCCTTAGGAAAAAAAAAAAAAAACAGATGGAAGTATTTTAGCCATATTAGCAAAATGCTTGGGCTGAGCCTATTAGCCCTAATTAAAGGAGCAGTTATATGAGACCAGTGAGAGCTGTGTCCTTATGAAGTTATATTGCTTTGCTGTTTATCTCCAGTATCTCTTCATAAACCTTGCTGTGTTTTTTAATGAGAAAATGCAACTTAGAAAAGTGACTAGCAATTTTTCCAAGGTACAGATAAGATCAGAGATTGATAAATGAGTAATGAGACTGCCTATAACCCTTTTTTCTTAGCCAAGTGACTTAGAAGGTGAGAACAATCTATAAAAGCGTGGAAATCCTCTAAATATATCTCCACTTAATTTGTTCCAAAGCAGCATAAGGGAAAAATATTTAATTTAAGAACAAGAAACAAAAGTAATTAATATTTTTACGAATTTGCTGTAGATGTTTCCATATGTTTATAGCCCCCACTAGCTACCCAGGATAGAGCAGAGCTGGTGAAAACATACAGACATCACTTGAATGCACTTCCAGAGCAGCAGCTCAGTATTCCTTGTAATGTTACTGAGGAATATGAGTTACTTTTGTTCTCCTAAGAGTGAGTGGGAAATTAAAATAGAGAAGTTTTGTGGTTTATCCAAGTCCTGGGAAACGTGGTGGGGCATCCAACTCAAAAATTTTAACGTGGTGGTTTCCTAGTCCTGTGTCCTGCCAGCCCTTGCCCCAGACATTAAAAACCAGTCTAATTAGAGCTCCCCAGTGAGTGGTTCGCCAGCAGAGCCCTGAGAGGAGGCGGCTGTCACAAACTAACACAACAGCTACACTGCCACGGGGAAGCAGGAAAGCTGCCTCTCTGGACACGAAACATCGCAGCTACTGGGAAATGGACAGATCGCCACTGCCTTTGCAAAGCCTCCTCCCTGCTGTGTGCAGTCTCTGTCCTGCGTGAGCTGGGAAGAGGGAAGGGGAAGAGCTGGAGGGACCGGGTTGAGAGGAGCAGCATGTCCCCTGGCCAGGAGAGCAGCCTGTTGTCCGTAATTCCGTGTGGATTCAGCGTCCCCTGGGATGTCACCGGACACGCAGTGACGCCTGCTGGGACACAGAGCCCTGACCTAGGGCATGGCAGGAAAGAGGAGCGGGAGGCAGTCACCCAGGAGAGGAAAGCAAGAGCACACACCACCCAAGAAAAGGCGAGCCGGGAAACCATTTGTAGCATCAGTGAAACATGGATCGTCTGAAGCATCTCCGGGGGGCTGAGGGTGCTGTGGGTCCCCGCACACTGCTGTGGGAGTGTCCCCAGAGATGTGGAGTCTTTGGCCACACAATGCACCAGCCTTGGTGGGATATGGTGGGGTGATCACTACACCCCAGGCAGGAAAGCTGAGCTCTTGGAGACCTGGCCAGTGGCACACACAAGGACTTATTCGCCCCAGTCCATATCTGCACTCAGTTTCCGGGGGTCTTAAAGGGCTGATCTTTAATAGTGGGGGCTCCTTGTAAAGAGGGCTCACGTGTGACTGTACGTGGAAGTTATGACCTCTATCCCCTCCCAAGGCTTTGAGGAACAAGCTGGAGGTGATGCATAGTGCTGGAGTGCTCAGGGCTCTGACAGGGCTGAGGGAAGCAAGTGAGGAATCTTCATCTTCCTGCACACCCTAACCCTACAGAGCACTGACAGCAGTCCATTTCCAGGACCTGGGCTTCAGATGCGTGGGACCACGAGTGAGAGCTGGCAGGAGCCGATGTGGGTTATCCCGACATAAAGCACCTGTCTCGCAGCATCTGTGCTCTGCACAGCCGGCCCTGCTCGGGGCCGGGTCAGGTACGCAGGGATTGCCACCATCAGCCTTCTCCCCGAGAAACTCGGCATCGCCCTGGGCTCAGCAACAGAGGGGAGATTTCTCCCCAGCCGCATGCAGCGTGGGCAGAGACACTGCCATTGCTGACCGTGACTATTCCATGTGCTAGCACGGAAAGTCTACCCACCAAGAGCAGCAGCACGGGGAGGTCAGCCCTCCGCCCGCCCTGCTCGAGGTGCAGCCGTTCACAATTATCCCTCCCGAAATGGCTGGCAGGGCTGTGTGCGGGGGTCGGGGGTTCCCAGCCGGCGGCTGACGGGGCGGCGAGCAGCTTCAATACACAGCTCCGCTCCCCTCACGACAAAATGCTCTGACGAGTGTCCCCGTCTTTCCTACTGTCAGTCTCCGCAGGGACCCTGCCCAGGCGCCACAGCGAGGGCCCGCTGGCCATGGGCGGGCGGGGCAGCTCGCCCGGTGCCTTCCCGGCGGGGTGAGGGGAGAGCGGCGGGCGGGCCCCTCGGCACCGGGTCCGCGGGTGCTCGGAGCCACTGCGCCCGTGGGTGGGCGTCCCCCGTCCCCCTCAGGAGCTTGTGCCGCTCGGAACCGGCGTGAAGCAGGATCGCGGTGGGGAGGAAACCCGAGTTTGCGGCGCCGCTGCTACCGATGCGCGGGGGCAAGGGCGAGAGAGCGAGCGGAGGCACCTTCGGCACACCGGCTTCGCCGGGCCGCCCCTCCGCAGCCCCCGGCCGCCACCCACCCGCCCCGATCGCTGCCGGAGGTCGGCCGGGGGGAGGTGGGAGCGGCGGGGGCGGGCGGCAGCCGCGGGGGTCGTCGCCATGACGAGCGGGCGTGCCGCCGCCTCCCGCGGCTGAGCGGGGCGGCCGCTGTCCCTTCAGCACCGCGCGGCCGGCGGGGCCGTGCTACCCTGCCCTGCCCTGCCCTGCCCTGCCCTGCCCTGCCCTGCCCTGCCCTGCCCTGCCCTGCCCTGTCCGGCCCGGCATCGGCACCCCTCTGGCACCGGCATCCCCCGGCACCGGCATTCCTCGGCACCCCAGCATCCCCCGGCACCAGCACTGCTCCGGCACTGGTACCCTCCGGCACCGGTACCCTCCAGTACCGGCATCCCCTGGCACCAGCACTGCTCCGATACCCCTCCGACACCGGCATTGCCCGCACCAGCACCCCTCCGGCACCAGCACCCCTCTGGCACCAGCACCCCTCTGGCACCAGCATCACCCCGGCACCAGCAGCCCCCCAGCACCGGCAGCCCCGGGCAGCGAGGCGAGCCCTGGCGGCCCCCGCGGGCGGCGGCGATGGCGGGCGGGGGCCGGGGGCAGCAGCGGGGCCGCGGCCGCTGAGGCAGCAGGTAGGGCGGGCACGGAGAGCGCGGAGAGCCGCGGAGCCGGGCGGGAGGGGCGGGATCCCCGCGGGTCGGAGCGGGGCTCCGGCCACCGAGGCGCGGAGAGGGACGAGAGCCCGGGCGGCAGCGGGGGCTCCTTGCGCAGCGGGGCCGGGAGGGAATGAAAGGTCCGCGCAAGCCCCGGTGGCACAAAGGCCGTGAGTAACGGGGGGGTGGTGGGAGCAACAGCTGCAGCGCAGGTGAAGGGCGAGGGGAGGGACAGGAGCCTGCAGAGGGAACAAAGGAGCCTCCCTCAAGGTCTTCAGTGGGAGAAAAAAAAAGGGGGGAAAGGAGAAAAACGGGGGCAGAGGAAAAAAAGGGAGGGAAAGTGAGTGAACAGGGGGGAAAGAGAGGAAAGGGGAAAAGGAGGGAGAGGGAATGGAGAGAAAGAAGGGAAGAAGGAGAAAAAGAAAGAGCAAGCACCAGTAGGTGAACATGCTGTAGATTTGTTCATTCTGCCAACTTTCTGTGTAATTTTATCCTAGGTTTTCATTCCCTACCCACATTTGGAAGGAGCTCACTATGACAGGGCAGAGTCTGAGGGCTTTATCTGAACCGAATTTTGAAGACAATGAGATCAGCATCAACGTTGGAGGCTTTAAGAAAAAGATGAGATCCAACACATTATTAAGGTTCCCCGAGACCAGGCTGGGCAAATTGCTGAGCTGCCACTCAAAGGAGTCGATACTGGAGCTTTGTGATGACTATGATGACACCAAGAATGAATTTTATTTTGATAGGAACCCCGAGCTCTTTCCTTACGTGCTACATTTTTATAACACTGGCAAGCTCCATGTGATGGGCGAACTCTGTGTGTTTTCTTTCAGTCAGGAGATTGAATACTGGGGAATCAATGAATTCTTTATAGACTCCTGCTGCAGTTATAGCTATCATGGGAGGAAAATGGAGCCAGACCAAGAGAAATGGGAGGAACAAAGTGACCAGGAAAGTACGACATCTTCTTTTGATGAGATTTTGGCATTCTACAATGATGCCTCTAAATTTGACAAACAGCCCTTTGGAAACATCAGGAGGCAGCTCTGGCTTGCTTTGGATAATCCTGGGTACTCAGTTTTAAGCCGCATCTTCAGTGTCCTTTCAATAGTGGTGGTGCTGGGCTCCATTGTGACCATGTGCCTGAACAGCCTCCCAGACTTCCAGATTGTTGACAGCAACGGGAACCCCGAGGAAGACCCTCGCTTTGAAATCGTGGAACATTTTGGTATTGCATGGTTCACTTTTGAACTGGTGGCAAGATTTGCAGTAGCTCCTGACTTTTTAAAATTTTTCAAGCATGCCCTGAATTTGATTGACCTAATGTCTATCCTTCCATTTTATATTACATTAATTGTCAACTTGGTGGTGGAAAGTAGTCCGACTTTAGCAAATTTAGGCAGAGTTGCACAGGTCCTGAGACTCATGAGGATCTTCCGCATATTAAAGCTTGCTAGACACTCCACAGGTCTCAGGTCTCTCGGAGCCACCCTGAAGTACAGCTACAGAGAGGTGGGGCTTCTTTTACTCTACCTCTCTGTTGGCATCTCCATTTTCTCAGTAGTGGCTTACACCATTGAGAAAGAAGATAATGAGGGGTTAGCCACCATCCCTGCTTGTTGGTGGTGGGCTACTGTTAGCATGACCACAGTTGGCTACGGGGATGTGGTGCCAGGGAGCACTGCTGGCAAGTTGACGGCATCTGCATGCATCCTAGCTGGTATCCTAGTGGTAGTGCTTCCCATTACACTGATCTTTAATAAATTCTCCCACTTCTATAGGCGTCAGAAGCAGTTAGAAAGTGCCATGAGAAGCTGCGATTTTGGTGATGGCATGAAAGAAGTTCCATCTGTCAATTTAAGGGACTACTATGCTTATAAAGTTAAATCCCTTATGGCTAGTCTGACCAATATGAGCAGGAGTACCCCCAGTGAGCTGAGCCTGAATGATTCACTGCATTAGTGTACAAGTCTGACAGCAGTTTGCATGAGAACTATCAAGAGCTATGTTTATAAATGTTTTCCTATTTGTTTTGGGTTTTTTTTCTCCCTAGAAGATAGTGTTGCTGACACTGCACTTTGCACTTGAGAAACTAAAGACATTTCTATTTCAAGTTAACAGTTTGCACATTTTCATCCTGTTGCATTTAGGGTACTAAGTGCTGACTTTTTCATACAAATGTTACCACTTCCATGACTTTAGTGCTAGCGGTATAGTGATGATCTGTTACTTTGTGCATTTTCTCATCTGGGCAGAGAAATGAATGTATCCAAGTGGAATAAAAATTCTCAGCTGTGAGAGGAGTAATGAAAAAATCACATATCACCTATACTGGTATACTAGTATAGGATTTCCCATGCATTTTACAATGGTTTGAAACAGCCACCTGTGAGTCACTGATACAGGAACACTTTTACCTATATTGCTGACCAGTAATTCTGATCATCACTTGCCTGAAAACACCTGTAAGTTTGCTTACTCTTATGTATGTGTGTTAAAATCTGGGTGTTCTTGTTTTGAAATGTTATGTATAGTAATATTTTTCAGAATCTCTTGGGCATAAACCTTCCTCTGTTTCCAATCTTAGACCAATACTGAGTCCTCTGAAGAAGGCCATCTCTCATTTTCAGGTAGCTGTATATTCAGACTACATTTCCACAAGTGACTCTAGGTATGGAGGCCTATATAGAGCTCTCAAGATCCCATTTCCAGAAGGAATCTGCTCACAGCTTGGTCCCAGTGCAGCTGCAAATGTATTGTATCAGTCCATCAAAATGGTTTTGAGATTAGCCACATGAAGATGTGGGCTTTAAACAATTAGAAGCGCCAATGAAAAACTTGGATTTGATTAATGAAGTGAAATATTCCCACATGATCCGTACAGGCAGCATTTTAGGAATTGACATTCATATACTGCAAAAAGACTAATTATAAAGATGCCATATGTGATGCTGAGATATAAAAACTAATTTTATCAGTAAAGCTTGAAAGCAGGTGTTGATGACAGACAATTCCATTAAAATTTCTGCCAAGGAATCTCTAAGCATAAAACCATTTTCACTCTGAAAGAAAATCTCAATTTACAGCTAAGGGAGAGTATAAAGGCCTAAGAAGGGAACAGATAAAGAGCTTAATACTGCACTATCTGTGGGTAGATCCTCCTACCTACTTCTGTGATGTAGTCAATTTAAATCCTTTCAAGGGCTGGCATGTACTTGTTTAAAAAAAACCATGAGAGAACAGATCATATGCGATTTCAGGAGTAATAATGAATCTGCATACAGTTGTTTTTTGAGTGCTCAGTCTCCTCCCTTACACAATTGTACAGAGATCAAACATTTGTAGTCAACAAGTAGAAGCCACTGCTTTGCCCTTTTTACTTCTGTGCTAGAAAACAAACTACTGGCACTCAGAGGGCAGAACAGTATTTCTCTTCAGATCCTACTGCTTTTCCATCCCATTCATTACATATAACGTTCCAATTAATTTTTTTATTAGTTTTACTTGTGAAGACTAGAGAGGTACAGAAATTAAACTCAAGCTAGTTAGAAGAGAAATTAAAATACTAAAGCTGAAATTGTCTTGTTTGGAAGACTATGTTTTTAAACCTTGACAAAGGGTGGCTCAACCAACAAATAAAGCAGATGCAGTATGAATAGGTAATTGCCTCATTTAGGCTACTAGAGGTTGCAGCTTGGTCTGGATCTTTTGATGCTGTATCAGGTCCACCTAAAAAACAGAAAGCTGAGCACCCAGGATCAGATTTCTGTTTGCCCAGTGATCTATGACAGAATACACATTGTGAAATAACTTACCCTCCACCCCACTTCTGTTGAACACTCTCCCCTCACATCAGTTAGCAGCTGATTTAGGCCTTGAAGTGTGAGGGGGAAAGGTCCTTTCCAACCTTTCCAATTTTTAACACAGCCTGCACAAGTTATAAGTCAATTGGCAAGCCATTGCTTGCTGCCCCTGAAATTGAAAGTGCCATATACATGGTCCTGAAGGTAGACCTAAATAACCTGAATTTGGTGTCCAAACTTGAAACATTTTGCTAAGGTTTACACTTCTGGATAGGGCTGGTTCAGTTCCCAGGCATAAATTCAATACTTGTGTCCCTGATTCATACTGCACACGTGTAAATTATGACACACCCACAAACGGCCACCTAACACAGGGAGCAGTGTGAGGTCACCTGTTGAACTGAAATGCCGAGAAAGAAACACAGGGAGGAAGAGGTGGGTGTGAGCACATACCCTCCGGCCAGGTTACATGCTGCAAGGGTGGCAAATTCTCTCACTGATGCAAAGGACACTGCAAACTGTGTCTGTGGGTCGGGGCTTTTGAGGAACTCAGCTGCAAGCAGTGATTTTATCTCAGTTTCATAAACCATAGATTTACAGAGCTGAAAACCAGGGACTTTCAGAGCAGTTATTTGGTGAGACCTGTAGACTTGCCAAAGAGCCACAAATTCCCTCAGCTGTTGCTAGTTTAACATTGCAAAGGTTGGATTTAACTTTGCAACACATCATTTCAATAACCTATAGCTTCTCTTATGTTCTAGATTTATTATTATTTGTAGGGCTGATGCTCTGTCATTTCTGCAAATATTGACTGGAACATGTCCAAATTGCGTTTTACTAAAGAAAATGAAATACCCAAGGAATTCCAACTTTTATTGTACTGGTTGAAAGGAATTTTCATTATTGCATTTTTATATAAGTGCTTTTGATCAAAGACACTAAATAAATAAAGTACTGAAATTTAAGATGTTCTTATTATCATGGCAATTACTTCACACAGTGCACAGGAATTCCTTTCATAAACTTAACTAACTCCATGTTAAAAGTAGTCACATTTTTGCTCCCCCTCTCCTCCTGAAGACCATTCCAGAGCTGTGCTGCTCTTCAACTTTTTGCACAACTTTTAGTATAATTTTATTAATGGCTGCTTTATACCAGTATTTTTTTTTCTTTTGCCAACACTGTTCTTTAGCTTAAATATTTCATTTTCCTCTTAGTGTATTTATAGACAGCAACCATATGGCCTTGAATACGTATTTTCACAGGTTTATACCTCTCAACTTCCTTTTAGTTTTCTTTTTACAAGTCCTGTTCCCCTTACCATGCTAGGGGATATAGCCCTTTTTTTTGCATTACTTCTGCTTAGATTTATTACGTTGAGCAATGGACAGTATTGTACAGCAGTTTTAGTACTTGCTTATGACTAACAGAATTTTTCACTGAGCAGAGTAACAATTTAATGATTTAAGTAATGTTGCTGTCTTAGCTGCCCCAAAATATCTAGGTAAGGAAAAACAAGGCACACTTTTCCTGACATTTTATGAAGTAATGTCTATTCTAGGGCTCAGTGCAAGTAAGTGCTGAGAAAACTTATCTCTCATTAAATAAAAGCTACAGGAAAGTGTTTACATTACACTTTGAACAAAAAATGCAATCTCTCCGAAGCCTCACAGGGGAGAAGAGGTGGGGTATTTTTTGCATAGTCAGTATTTAAGCCAGAATTCCTCACTCCCTGTTGTGTGAGAGCAGGGAATCTGCCCTTTCATAACACACTGGGTCAGAACTGAAGGATGAGAGGACTAATTGACCACTTTCTTCAGAAATGGAAAATTTCCATGGTCAGAAATCTCCTTCATATGGATGTGCAGTTTTCTGAAGAACATTGCCTCGGCCTGTGCTCCTCCTGCCTGTCACAGTCACTTTTGTGAGACCAGTGAAAATGCTGTGCCCACTCTCTTCCGTCTGAGAGCTTTGTATTATTTAAATGAGAATTGTGGTAATATTTCAAATGAGGTAATTTGCTTTATTGCCAGGAATAAACTGTTAGAGAATCTGGATTTCTAGTACAAATCTAGGCTATTAGTAGAGTCAGAGATGCCCTTGAGAAGCAATATGTTACATTATGTTCCTGAGATGTAAAATCTATATATAGATTGTGATTAAGCTTTTTATGTATGTTCAGATTTTGTATTATTGCCTGGTTTATTACTCACTTACTTTCATCAGTTGCTAATTCTCTCTTTCCCTGCAGACTTTCCATTTTGAAAACAGACTGGTTTTTCCTCTTCTGTTATATAGAGCATGGGCTACTCCACATTGCAAACTTAAAAAAAAACAACTTTGCATTTAGTTTTCCAAATTTAAACCTCCAGTATTTGTACCTTTTTGTACAGAACTTTACAAGATTGCAGGGAACTACTGTATCTGGGGCTCTTTGTACTGTGTGTCTTGTCCTAGTAGTGTGTAACACACTCAAGAACTCAGTTTTGTGCCCCAAAATGGAAATTAAATGCATTAAAAATTGTCTTTCACCAGGGATGTAGAACTGATTTAAGTTTCAGGACATTCTGAGTATATATTATAATCAAAGAGAAACCTGGGCCTCATTGTGAAGATAAGATTTTTCTAAACATGCACATCAGGCTAGATTTCTATTCTTAGAAATGCTCTTAATTGGTGATTGTGGTGAGGAACCCACATTTTTCAGTTGAACAAACAGTACAAGCTTCTTGTTCTGTACCTGACAGATTAGGGACTAAACAACATACCACCAGCATTTGGAGGCACTAAATCAACTTGACATGACCTTTCATCTCTTCCAAAATAACCCCATCCCTTGAGGCCCCAGCTGTGCACATATAAGCAGCAGAAAGCCCTTGGAGTAACTGCTCCTGCTGTGCTGGTTATCTATTTCCTCCCACAATACTCCTGACTTTAATCTACCTTTGATGGTGCTTTCAAACAACATTCAACTCAAGGCACCACTCATATCCCTTCTTGGAGTGTTGTGCCAGAACTAGTCTTGTCTCATTATGTTATTCTTATTTTCTTTTCCAATTTATGCACCTGGCTTCCCATTAAGTTACACCAGAAATTAATTTGATCTCTTGATCTCCTGTAACTAACTTTCAACTTGCACACTATTCAGACAGGGTAAAAGAATGTTCCCATGTGAACATTCTGAAGCATCTTTTACGGATTCTGCC